TATGCACCGAATGTAAGATTTGTTTTAGGCTTAATTCATTGTCCATTGTATCGACCAATAACAACTATTTTTTGCAGATTTCGGTCAGCTTTTCTTGGGGTCATTACGTGCGGTCTATTTAAMCGAAATTGCCATGTCAATTCCACTGCGGTTGTAGAGACAASTAAACGTGACTGCAATGCTGAAGCTGAAAGWAGTCGCTGGGCCATATCTACCAAGGACCYCCATAGAATAACCGAGCAATATTGCTAAAGTAAGCTGGGGATATAAGCCAGACCCCAACATCAGTTTCTCTGTAAAATAAGAACGTTTTCATTGGAACGTATTATAATTTTGCGCTGTGAAGCCCATTTTTTAGTATTTCAAGGACGGTTATTTAAGCGTGGATTTCACTAGCGCATAAGCATAGTCATAAGCACGAAGCACGAGAGTCATATGCGCCGGTGAGAACGGGCTCAAAATAAGCATATTAAGCATGAGCACAAGAAAAACGAGCAAGGCTTGATCTTCTTGTGCTTATCTCATGCTTATCTCATGCTTATGCTCAGTGAGAACGGGACTGCATAGGCATAAGCATAGCCTGGTACCAAAATAATACTCTTGTGCGCACGCTCAATGTCTTATGCTTATGTCGATCCCGTTCTCACTGGCGCATATGATTCTCATGCTTGTGCTTATGCTATGCTTATGCGCTAGTGAAATCCACGCTTTAGGTTTTTTTGAATGAACTTTCATGCTGAAGATCAGCGTCCATTTTGTTAAAGAGTCCGTCTCACACAGTCGATTGCATTTGAAGTAATGATGTAACTCCGATATTAAAACATACCATTATCACTGACAGTAGTTTTCTTAAAAGTTTATTGATATGTAAAATACTGCAGTTCAACTTTATTTATTGAAGAAATCACTTCTCTTTTAAGTAATCTTAGTCTTCGTGCCTTAAATCTAGGCAAAAGGCACAAGGCAAGGGTGATAGTTGTATCATCTACTGCAAATTGTACTGTACGCTGTATATTTGTAAACTTTAATAGTCTTTAGCTATCTATAATGAAAATTAAAAGCATGAGCTTTCAAGATGGTGTCTCAGTGCATGCTGGGTCTTGATACATACAGCACATGCGCACTATATATCAACTCTATTGCCCTAGCAACATATCTTCAAAGGAATCATGCGTTTTGATCAAACAGATCACATTGGGTGAGCACTGCACTGCACAATTACATTTAAAACATCTGTGTCAATTGAAAAATACGAAAACAAAAACTTAATGTTTTGCTATTGTATTAGATAAAGCAAATATTGTACATAACCTTGAGTTGAATGACGTTGTATTTTCAATGTAAACTTGTCTTGTAAAAAACYAATTTGGGACACGCGTCGAAAAAAAAAGAAAGGGAAATTCTCAACGTGCTTGTTCATAAAAGTTAGAATACATGGGTGCTTGACGTTTATTGCTGTGTATTATAGTAATAGTGAAAAACTGTTAAGCTAGGAATTCTCATAAGCAGTGCTTACACCAAATGTTTTCCATGAAGTCACTTCATGTTTCATTTAATTTCCATCTGTCAGAAGGAAGCTGGGAGGTAATGCGGAGTTTGCGCCAAAACGCAGCGTGCTACAAACATGATCACTGTTAATTCTCAAAAATGAAATAAAAATTGTATCAGTTCACCTGTCGCTTTTTATCACCTCAGTGATAAGTCATAGCAAAAAGGAAATAAAAATTGTCTGATATTATTTTTTTCATTTTGTTGAAATTTGGTTTAATATGTTTATAAACAACACATTAAAGAGGTACAAAATATCGAATTATATGACGCCCGAAGTTAATTCTTGCTTATTAACCTTTTAAGACCGCAGAAAACCCACAACAACATGTTGTGACTTAAACAGCTCACAATGTATTAATTCAGTTGTAGAAATTATCAACCAAAAGTATAGAATAATATGAATAAAAAAATATGAAAAGGCAATACGGTGAATTTAAAATAGAAAAAAGCAAAAGATAAATTGGGATTAAATGGGAATTGAAATCAAAATGGGAAAGCGCAAAATTATAGTTCCTCTTTGAAGTGAAAAGTCAAAATTGAAATACATGTATTCACATGTGAACACCGAGAATTTGAAGCTAAATTTGAAACCTGAGAATTAAAAAACGTGAAAAACTTGGCAAGGTGAAGAAATGTGAAAAGTGAGAATCCTAATTTATAGTATATTGAGTTGTTGTGATAGGATTACAAGGGATTTCCTTTGACTTGCTCATATTGACCATCCATTAGCCTTTCGCTGGGTTAGGAATTATTCAAAAAGGAAACACTTAAGGGGTAACAAGATGAGGAACTGACATTACTGATAACACATTTTGATATACACGAACAAGACTTATATGATTTCACCTGTTTCATCTACTCCCAGAAAACCATCCACAAATCACAATATACTTTTATTCATGGCATCGACTTTATATTTATACAAAATATCTAGTATTTTTCTGGTTGTTCATTGTTTTTAAAGCGAGARGAAAACGTAGGGTGAAATTTGTGTTAGCTTTTCAGTCTGACATGTTTACTGTAAACTGTTTAAAGAGAAGATTGACGAAGATTGATGGCAATATTCATTGAGTGTTTATTTTTCTACGTGTTTTGTAATATTCGTTTAACGAGTTGTTACAACTATGACCCTTGGGACTTCTTTACTGGGCTTTAAATTATCCCTCTCGACTCTTATCTCTCCCGTGTCATCTCTCTCGAGGTAAACTAAGTGTTGATCATTTCGTCTTGATGTTTCTCCTCCACTTTGCTGTTGCTGCACTTGTTTCCCGTTTGAATAAACAGCTCTAGAGCTTCTAACAGTTGATGAAGGTGAAATTCTGCGGGCACCACATGATACACAAACATTTCGTAGCACTTTTTTGCAGCCTTTACGAAAGCTCTCGTTAGTAGCTGTGTACAGTAGCGGGTTTAAAGCGGCGTTGCTGAACCCGAGGAAGAAAATAAAGAATTCCTGAAAAATCCCCATGTTAGAGCAGACGTTTTTTATTCCGAGTCGAAATACTACACACACAGTGTAAGTCCAAAGATAAGGCATCCAGCATAGATAATGAATAGTGATTACCCCAAGACCTTGCCGAATCACACGACGATTAGTTCTGCTTCTGGCTAAATGACTATTTTCTGTTACAACACGACCCGGAATGGAATTTCTCTGCGTCACTTTGACAACGATAGCGATATAAAGTACCAATGTCACAAGAAATAACAAAGCAACCAACGAAGCCTCAATYTCCCGCCATGGCTTGATGTTGGAAAAATCACTYGTACAGRACATTATTTTAYCAAATCTGATTACAGTATTGGTGTAGAGTTTTGGCGCGTAGAATAAGCAAGATCCTGCCCATACAATCGCTCCTGCTATATGTGCCGCTTTAATAGTTATTATCTTTCGGAGAGGAAAGAACACAGACAAAAACCGCTCAACCGCTATGATAGCAATACACCAAGCAGAGACACAGACCCCAACTTCTAAAGCATACGAGTGAATCTTACAAAGCGCCTCTCCAAAACGGCCTGGGATCAGCCATCGTCGGTCGACCAGTAAGAGAGATATCATGCTTGGGACACCGAAGATAGTTGTGATAAGGTCTGCTACAGCCATATGACAGATAGTYGCGCTCATGACAAGTTTTCTCAGCTCGTTTTTGTCTATTTTATAGGTGATTATCACAAGTGTATTTCCCACTAACGAGAGCACCAGCACAATGCAGTAAGCGCTGACTTTAAGAGCAAGTGAAGCCACTTCTTCACCTTCCTCATTGCCTGGAGTTGTTCCATTAGTTCGGTTCATTGTGACCMGATTACATGAAGGCTTTCGTTATACTAAGTCAAGCCTCGGTGTGTTCTTAAGGTATAGTAACAAATGACCAGTGACCTACAGCGGTCTTTCAACCAATCAGARACGACCTCATTTCTGTCGTTCTCAGGCCCATTGTCTTAAAAGCAATTTCATAACGTTAGCAAAAAAAGAAAACAAAAAGGTTTTGGAGTAATAATTTAGCTAAACTGATTTATAATTTATGAAATTCAAGGGCAYGTTTACGTTCGTTTGTTTTATTGAAATAAAATGAGCAAATTTTACATACCTCAGAGGAAGTAACGTTCTCAACTTTTCCTCCGAGTACCTCAGTTTCTTGCTATCAGAAGCTTATTCCCTTGGTGCGGGAACACTGATAACAATCATGGACGTATCGAGTTATTTGAACAGAATCAAAATTAAAAGAACGACAATTTTTAAGCGCTGTCAATCACTTATATTGGAAGCTTCCGACTTTTCCTCTCGACTTTGACACTTTTTGGCCGTTTTTAAGRATTCAAATATACCCAATAAACTGCCGCTTTATTAATTGTTAAAGAAAACGCATTTTTGTTCTTGTCGTCTAAACAACAAAAGTTAATCGGCCAAAAATTTCAAACGGTAGACCTGCACTCAATCAATTTGGTGTTTCGACTACGGTAACGAGGAATTCTACCCGATATCCGTCTATTCTTCCTTGTAAAGTGCTRCTTTAGTGCAGCTACTTAGCCGTGATTATTGGTTAGGACTCTGAACTGCTTGGCGAAGTCTTGCGAGTCGYACACCAGAGAAAAAAAGCCGAAAGGAATCTGAACTTCGAAATTATGATACTTTCCTAGTATATATTTCTCAGATACTAAATGTGACCGYACACAAAGATCAAACTAACCGGATGCCGTTCATCTTAGTAGGAAACAATTAAARCAAAATTACTCGTTAGATTTTCAGGATTCTTATTGATTTTTTTTACCATTTTTTTAAAATTCAACTTACAGCCAGTTTTATTTTCAGGAAATATCAGAATGTGAAATCACGCTATCATCACATGATATTAAAAAAATGGTCAAATCACGTTTTCCAAACGCATATTCCTAACATCAGACGGAAATGGTTGAACTTAAGGCAAAGTAGTATACAAGAGTTCAACGCATGCAAGCCATTCAGTCATTGGTTGGTTATAATGACGGCGTGGGCTTTAATCACCCTATATAGTCATTTAAAGTCCCTGGAGCAGGCCTGACGGGCTTTTTAATACATAGAATCATGCACTTACAATCAATTTTTATGAAAAGGAATTCAAAATTTGTATATAGTATCACTGGCCACTATTTGAATGAAAAAAATATGACACGATGAAGCGAATGGGTGATTAATATTATTGTAAACTTTGCCGATTTCCAAGCAATCAAAAAGTAGAAATTTATATAACAATGCTCTATTTTAAATTGTGGGTGAGGCATTAATGTCACATTATTGTCTTTCAATAGAAGGCAGTGTTTGCTATAAAAGTACAATTCAATTTTCTATACCTAAGCCAATCAAATTTGAAGGATATTTTCAACTTTGTACCATAGGGGAGTAGAAACTAGAGTAATTGTGCAACTATATACAATGACTGAGAAACCAGACATATGAATAGCTAAAATGTTCAATACGTTATCGATACTGACTAATAAAACACAACTAATTATTTGAAGGAGTGATGAGCATAAAGTGATTGAAATTGCAATCAAATGCTGATTCCATTCACAACACAACAAATTTAAAACTGATTTTTTGCGGTCGTTGAAAATAAAATAATGCTCAACAGATCTTTCACAGAATATAGAGCGCGATTCGATAACTGCACAATCATTCTCGTTCBGTTTGAATGTCGAGAAGGATCTAGGTACGATATAACTGACGTGCCGATTCAAAACAAAAATGGAGGTTTAGCGGACACTGCACTGCTTTTCGACAGCTGCACCTTGTCATTATAACCTACAATCTTTTGCCAATTTCGTGCGAAACACCGTCTATGATTGTGTTACAACCTCTCCTCCCTTTTTGCTATAGTTGTTTGTCAAATGAATTGCTACCAAGTCGCCAAGGATGAGGAAAGGAACGAGTGCACAACTTGCAGTAGGGAAAGGGGGTAGGGTTGAYGATTGTATAGCTAGTTAGATTTATATAAAAGAAATATTGATAACTTCTTCGTTCAATCAAAACTGATTCTTTTTTCACTCAATTATCCCATCAATTTTTTTGAATAGAAAAAACCTCTCCTGCAATGAACGATTAATTGATTTTCTGTTCGGTATCACGTCTAGGGGCGCAGTTTGACAGCATCTTGACAACTAAAAGGGACAAATTCGTGTATCCATAGTTGATAATTTTCTAGATAAGAAAGATGGAAACATGTAGCAGACCACAAAAGCTGTTGACAACACTACATATCAGATAGTTGCCTTGGTTATCGGATATTTTTTACTTATAATATTCCTTCCATTTCAATACCTTTGATTACTTTTACATCCTTGTCTTTTCTTCAATAAACTTCACGAGAACAATACGAGTATACCCTTTCTTTTACCATCCCTTTGAACTTAGATTGTCGTCATCGTACAGTACTTTCTGTATCACACATGCGCGTGCATTGTGTGCTGTCAATACGTCCCACACGTTTGTGATAGATCAGCTCATSCTTATCTGATTGACGAGATAATATTGTCTACGAGTCATGAGCAGCTGTTATGAGATACGGCTGACACCGAAACAAAYTGATTTTTAAAAAAATGAACTTTAGGAATGAACTTGAAAGTTTCAATCCGTGATCTATAAACATTTTATTTGCAAATTGCTGAGTACCTTTGCCTCTCAAATAAATAGAAACGTCACGCGAGAGAATTTACAAATCGTTTTTTTTTTTTGTTGTGGTCCTCGGGTCTGTGAAACCTCATTTAAATTTTTTGTATTTCATATGTTTTTCCACATTTGTTATCAGTTTTGGTTTCAGTGGGTTGCAAGTATGGCGGTCACCRCCAAAGTGCACCTTCGATCCGCACATTGCTGGTGAAGGCCAGTTTTTWAAGTGTCACGTGACGACAATCTAAAATCAAAACCATTGGTACCAGAATTCATTGCGCATGGCRCATATCTATTTACAAACATCCCAGTACCCATGATGCATTGTAGCTAACTAGAATGATTACCTTTCTTCCTGGTGACTAATTACTAATCAAAAAGAATCCGTGCAGTAAACATATTTCAAAACTACCGTAGGCATTACGTGCACTGTTTTGTTCACATCAAAATATTTGAACGGTTGTCTCCATTTAAAAGTGATTATCGCCGAAAGAAATGATAGATTGCTTGTCTAATAAGCACCGTTAAGGTAGTTATGCACATAACACCTATTAAGGTTTTAATCAGTATTTCTTAGGCGAATAGAGGCCATTTCTAGCCTGTAGGATTCTTTCTATATTCGATGCGGAGAAGCACAGTTTTGTCCCAGTGCACAATTCGTTTTGATTAGCAATGTCATTTATCTCCCTCGCCGTCTTTCATTTTTAGTCTCTAAAAACGACAGCGAAGGAGACAAGAACCATTAACTTATCTATCTATCCTAACTCTTATAATTAACCTCTTTACATCCCGCCTTTAGACATTTCTCATGGAGCCTCGCCCCAGGCTCATATATTAAATAGGACTGTACATACATTTTATTTATTACAATAGCTTATGTCCAGCCTTTAGGCTTATCTCTCAGTGTTAGTGTTTCTGGATATTCCATTTTATCAACAAGCTCTCAGCTTTCAGATTTACTACTATTTGACCACCGTCTCTCCTCCCACACAACTTGGTGGCGGTTGAGTAGATGTTTCTTCAAATTATGTGGAATTATAAACTTAGCACCACACAGATCGCACTGATATGGCCGTTCGCCGGTATGACAACGCACATGCGCCTTGAGGACGTTGGAGCGTGCGAAAGTCTTTCCACAATACACACATTTGAACGGTTTAACCTTCTGGTGTATCGCCATGTGTTGATTGAGATTGCCGCTTAAATTAAATCCCCAGCCACATATTTTACACTTGTACGGCCTTTCGCCACTGTGCGATCGTTTATGTCTTTCCAGAGCGGCTGACGTGTCGAATTCTTTTTGACACTGTTCACATCGAAATGCCACACCYTCCGAAGCAGTTCTTGGATAACCCGGGGGGTATGGTGTTATACTAGTGGTAATACCTGTTGAATTACTCGTAGATATACCCGGCGTACCGGGGTGCATAGGGGGAATTCCTATTACTCCGTCCTGTCCTAAGGACCCTCGTCGTATAGAACTACTTGGTAGGTATTGTTCGCTGTCCATCGAACTGTGGGCTCCTTCTGATGTTACCATGGTGACGCCATTTGTTTCCAAGTTGTGACACGCCGATGGGCTGTTTCGATCGAGAGGCTCTGCTTTGACTCGAACCGTGTTTTCTAGTCGTACAATAGCAGTAGGATATTGAGAGTCGTTCACATCATTATCCTCATTAGAACGGTAATGACTCCTCGGGTATTGACTCACATCATCCCGAGTGAAGCGGGACCCATTGTTATCTATTTGCTGTGTACGCGGTTCTGCAGGGTGGTACGCTCTGTGCTCGGTTAGATTCGAAATCCCACTTTGTGTTGCAATTCCATTATCAGAATCGTTCCCATAACTCTCTTTGCCATCACTGTCAACCATTAAAGGATGGTTTTCATTTTCCTCTAAACTCGAATCATGCTCGGGTGAACTGCCATCGGATCKCTGGTTATGATAATGACCCTCGGTGACGCTCGGTTCAGAAGAAGGGGGACTGGACTCTAGCATTCGTGGATGRCAGTTCGTCGCAAGTGATCCTCGTTCTTCTTTCGGCGGTGACGGAGTTCCTTCGGAGGATAGTCGGCCATTTTCGTGACCTGCAGTACTATCGCAGACGACTACTGGATTTGGATCGTCGGAGACCTGTCGGTGTTCATCCGAATTAGAATTGCTTAATCTTCGAACAGGCTTTGGATATAGAAATTTCTTAACATTAATTCCCGGTGATTCAGTGACATTGTCTGGAACTACTAGAGTTATCTTTCTAGGATAAGCAGTTTTGTGACTTGAACGCTTTCTCCGTGATGAAGGAGTGTTCGTTGGTTTTAATGTTAATGGACTCTTTCTTGGTATAATATTTGACAGAGAACCTGCATGGGGTACTGAACTCGGAGCCTGTCCGGGGGTTGCATTAGATATAACATTACTAATAATAGGTGATGCGCATGTCAGTGAGGTGTTCACGTGCATAAGTGTTGGTTTTGAGTTCGATGACGTAGAGTTTATGTGACCAGCAGTGTTGTTCTGTAGTAATTGAGTTACTGGGGCGTATGTGAGCCCTGGTGGATTGACAGGCCATCCAGTAGGAATCATTGTAGCGCTTTGYACCTGGCCGTTTAGCCCCATSGTTATTATAGGTTGTCCCATTTGATACTCGGGAAGTCTTTGTGAAGGTTTTGGTTGCTCTGAATACAGAGAAAAAGTTACATATATCAAGGTACAAATATAAACGGCCGCCGTTGGACCCCATTAAATTTTACTGTCTGACTAGCTTTTTGATAACACTTTCTCAGGCGTGCCACTCTTGCCCTAAATAATTTATGCAGGTCAAACACCGAACTAGTCTTGCGCCAAAAATATTTTAGGTGCGTTGATTTGTCCCCAAACCCCCTGACTACCTCTGATTCATTTTACCTCTTTTTTGGGATCGACGACTGACCCGACCTACCGAACTCATTTTCAACTTAATGTACGAGACTAACGTACAGAGTGCTATATTCTATTCTATTTGGAAATTAAGAACACACTTTGAAATTTCAGGCTGAAGTGGTTCTTGTGTGAAGGGTACTTAAAATGAAAATTTCAGCTTGACAGGTACTTAAATTGTTGGTTCTTATAGGCGGGGTTTAATGTATATTAGTGGTTTATATTGAAAAGGACATGTAAAAGCTTATTATTTTTAACGAAATGCAAAAAATATTTTAAGCAAGTCATTTCAGCGCGCGGGCAGCTTTGGAAGGAGGGCAAGTGTTAAAGTCCATTTGTAAGTGATTWTTGATCAACAACACATAATTTTCTATAATTATCATTCTCGACAATATTTACTTACCGAAAGCAATAATATCATATTTTTCTTGAGTTAACGTAGATTTATCTAAAGTTACCAAGCATGGTAACGATTCCTCTGTTCTGGGTCGTAATGCGGCTATTACTGTTCCTTTATTTTTAGGATCTGCATTATATAACATCTTGATAACGCTGAGAGGTGTTCCTCGTTCCACCTTGAGGACGGCTTTGCCATCGTTGTATAATAGAACCTGATAAACAGGGAAATATTTAGGAACTTTCAACACTCGTTATAACGGACACTTAATTAAGTGTCCGCAATAGTGAGTGTCCGCTTTAAAGGGAGTTGTTTTCAGTACAGTCACCACTCGCTATAAAGGACACTTTTAGCCTGCAACAGCGAGTGTCCACTGTAAATTAGTTTCTTTAAAAAGAGAATTGTTTAACTGTCCGTAATAATTTGATGCCCGTTATWTCGGGGCGTCCGCACTGACTATATTTACCCCCAATGCAATATAATATAGTGGTTTTGAAAATWTATTTTAGCGTTGTAAACATAATTAACAATAAAACCGTGAGGTCGATTGGACTGCGATTTAATAGTCCATGAGACTACACTCACTCAAATGGACTATCAACTCGAAGTTCACGAGACCAAGGGGTCTAATTGTTTTAGTAACCACCAAACTTACCTATAGGGCGAATTAAAAAAAATACAATAAAATAAACTTTTTTATCGACATTTTCTCTATCGACTATTTTCGTTTCATTCCATGCGACCATGGTCTATCATGAATACACCATAGCCTCAGTAGCTAATCAGAATGCTGGATTTATAACAGCTCATAATTTTGCGGATATCAATACTCTCTAATATGTGCGATTTTCATTATTTTCGGTTATCACACATTTATATTATTTTATGTTAAACTTGGTTTCAAGCGTTAATGCTCAAAATCGCTCTATAACGATCAATTATTTCTGCTATTGGGCAATAAGTAATTATTACCACGTGATTTGACATATAACGTTGACAGTATCTTATACTGCAGCCTGATGGACACATGGGCTTCACACCTGCACCGAGTATACTGACCACCATTGCCACAAATTACAACAGTGCCGTTAAATATCATTCGCTTTATCAATGCTATAAACCTCGTTGTTCTTTTACCTTTATAGCTTATTCACAAGGGATTTACATTATTGTTATGCCTAGTATGCTAGTGAGATGTATTGTTACAATGTAGAAGWATTCAATTAGAGTTTAACGGTTGCTGGACAAAAAAAGTTCCTTGTTGAAAGGAAATGTTTAGAAATATAAAATTTCTGACAAAAAATGACAAACGTTCAAAGAGCATTTCTTTTTGTTTTCATATGCTCTAATCTTGAGCGGAAAAGCCTTGCTTATGAGCAAAAAAGGAGAGAAATAATTAGGCTATGTATATATGACAAAACAGACAAGCCCGCCCTACCATATAAACATCATTTGATTCTTCTAAGACAAGATGTAGGAGTTGTGATCACGGCTCGCTCAAAAGAGTCAATTTTTTCATATAAACCGACACAATCTTCTGAGATTTATTAAGGCAAATTATCAAAAGAAAATARCCGGTAGTCAATTAGTTTTCAATAGAGTTTTTTTCATGAATTTAATCGTGTACAAGTCTGTAGTTTCAGCACGCGTGTCTTGTGCAAAACAGTTATTGTTTTGAGAATGAACAGAAATTAGAATTGCGCTAATGCACACTTAATGCACGATTCTTAAGTCGCTTGTTCACACAATTTAGTAATCTCTTCATCTACTGAACAATAGTGTTTTGTATTTTTGTCAGTCTTTGAAGAAACTGTACTTATGGAAATGATCTAATTCTGTAGAAATAAAATAAAATGTGCTTGATTAAGTAAAAACTACAAAACCTAGTAAAAACTGTTCATAAAAGTTGACATCTGGTGGCTTTTGTTGCTTTAGATAAAAATATGCWATGAAAGATCGATGAAAAACGGTCATTCATCGTTTTTCCCGCCTCTTTGAGTTAAAACGTGTTTGGGATTAACTGTGAGATTAGATGATTGAAAATTCTTCAAAAAGTTAAACCCCTTTAAGACAATCATCATTACATGAAGATTATAAAGTTTAAAAACATCTTAACCACGCGTGCAATTCCGAATTCCAAAGCGAATAATTACAYGAAATGCATATGCAATTGAAACGTTTGCCTAAGTTGCCAGATGTTTATCATGCCATGAAATGTCAAGTTCAAAGGCCTGTATAGGAAGTCCACTGTCAATCATTGTTGTCACAAATAATCAAAATTCTTTTCAAATTGGCAGTGCTTTGTTGGAGGCTTTCTGGTCCAAAATTACAAGAATTCTGTGGTTGTCTCGAAGCGTTTTTATCAYAAAAATAGTAACTTAAAACGTGCAATAGGCCAAGACTTCAGCACGTTTCAATTTTAACACACAATCACTTCCCGCCAAAATCTAATTCGTGTTTGCATGTTTGCAATGCTCTTCCTTGCGAGCGTAGAAGCATTCTTAACAAGTCAGTAGAAGAATCAAGCAAATAAAACGAAGAGCACAAATCACATTTTAGAAATATTTGAAGGAGAGCATAATTCCCGATTACTGTTCGAGTCTATAAACTACGCAACGCACGAAATCGACACGAAAAAAAAGAATCGCAACAAACACACTCACCTCCGTCATTCTCAATCCAAGGAACAACACAGTAAAGAATGAAAAGCCAAATTTCCCAAACAATAGAGACGATGCTGGTTTGACTTTCTTTGTCGTCGATGCAGTTGACCGTTAATCGTCTTCACAAAAAAGCACCACAAAAAAGATAGCAAACACAAAGCCTAGGACGTTGTGGGATCATCAAATGCATTGTGACGGCCAWAAGAACTGCACAACAAGRGAGGAACTGGTGGCGGTATTGTAGTGACAAAGTTTACAAGACACGCAGAGATCAACCTAGCTTTAGTCACTTGCAAAATATTCAAATTTCTAACGTATTTGCATTCTGTTGCAAAGGTGAGCAAATACGGCCAAACAATGAGGAACGTAAACAAAACTGCCAACTTTTTCACCGCTCGAACTTTTAACTTCTGTATTACATTCCGAAAGTGAAAATAYTTTCAGAGAAAATCATTTTGTGTACCGAAATGGTTAAAATTAACTTCACTTGTACAAAGAATGACCTTTTTTTGTAGGCGGACGTAACAAAGGACTTTTAGCAATTCAATAAATACTGTTCACAAAAGAACTTGAATATCTGATGCAGCGGCAAGCATTCAAAACAGCATTTGAAAACAATATCTTCGATTGATGAATGAGAAAACAAAAATCCCTTGAATTGAAGACCACGCATGAATATATTCACAGTCGGTGAATACGATTCTGAATTCATTTTCTAAGTGACTGAATTTGGCCCTGGTCAGTGTTTTAGAGCTATTGGTATTGCAATATTCTGCGATATTATACGGTCAATCTGTTCTCTGACTATGTTTTGAATTTTTCATAGACATTCCAACTCTAAATATCTACATTGTCAACTCTAAGAGTAATTAATAATTTCACTGGACAGTTCAGTAAATGTTGCCAGACTTTCATTTTCCGGCCTGTTCGGGTTGACTGATATCTAAGGAATTTGTACTTAGAAAACGCTGACTCAATGAAATTCATCGACAAAATTACAGCAATTCATATGTTCTCAATCTGTAAAAAAGAAACTAAGTTAAAATATTACATTTTGAAATCACCATGAATAAATAAATGAGTACAACTCGATTTTTTTAGCTATAAAGTTAAGTACTTACGTCAGAAGTATATTATTTATAATACGTTTACATTCCTAAAGCATAACATAAATGGTATTTTTAGCAATCGGAAAACGTACAATCTAGACGTAAATATGAGCACTTGGCTATGAGAGTCCAGTACTCAGCCATGCATCCTTTTTGGCAAAATTATAAATTTAACCCTGAAGTTTCAAGCTGATTGTTGCCAATTTATGTCAACATTAAGTTGCCTTTTTTTAATGTAAAACGCAGACTAAACATAATCTCCATGATAATATCTGATATAAAGTAGACAGAATCTGTATATGCTTAATTGTAATATGCGAGAATAATCATAACTGGATCTTCTTCTACAAKTTGAAAATAAAAGCCAGTAGTAGTTTCTTCCTGTATACTAAATTGATCATTACAACACTGGCAGTTTATAGTAAACTTGTACAATAATAATCACATTTTATTACCTAAATGTACTGTCTATTAAGAAAATTAGTACAGAAATAAAAGTATCTATTGCTTATGCAATTCCTGAGGTAAAATAATATTCTCACTGGTATGTATTTCCTTGAGGGTGCAAAGGGTAAGTAGAAGTATTATCAGCCATTATCCTATAACTACATTATCCAGAAATGAAATGAATTTATATACATACATCTTCTTGTGCAAGACATATAACAGACATGACTTCTCTTCCTGTTTTCGTAAATATAACAAGATGGCTTCAAGTCTGCCAGAACATGTTAGAGCAAGGAAGTGAATTGTTTATAAGAACAAAATTATAGCTGATATATTATCTATTGTTTTAATAACATAACAGCAAAAATAACTTTGTTTTACATTTAGATTCACTTAACAAACAATAGCGCTATTTTTATCAAATTTAAACAAAAAAACAAGTTACTACATCAAGTTTTAAGTAAAAATGAAAAAGAAAAACAGATATACTACTACAATAATGCTGAGCATATTGCATCCTCTCCTATGACTTCCAGTTGTCAAAATACCAGCTTCTATTGACACACAGCTGACACACCCAGACAGAAATGCCAAGATTGTCAGAGAGCATGCTCATTCCTGACTAATAATATCTCATGACAAAACAGTATTTATGTAAAGATACTGCATAACAAACTAAGACACTACCATACTAGATCTAATATAAATTAAAAAAATGAATTAAATATCTTTTTTAAATGTAAAACTATGCACTATAAACCAGTTCACAGATAATAATTTGTGCCATGGAATTATGTTTAATTAAGAACAGCATTGAAAAGAATTTGTGACCCAATATCAACAAGGAAATAATTGATCAGAGACAGAATTCAAGAAAATTATTTCATATCAACCAAATCAGTTTTTTCACTTAGATCATTTTACTAAAATTCGCCAAGAAGAGTGTTATTACATATTTTGTGACGTCTCATTCAAATGAAGTAAACATTGAAACAAAGGAAAACTAAGCATAATGCCTGGCCTACGATATGGTCGAAAATTCAAACCCCACATTTAAATATCTCTTGCTTGGAAAATATAAATTCTTACATTTGACGACCAACGGCTATCCGCCGACCAGGCAATAAAAATTCTATTCTTTTAAGAGGATCGCAGTGGTACTGAGGGCAGCTGCAACGATGTCACCATTCAACTTATTTTTGAACGATATATTTGTCGTCTAAATATAGAAAACTTGAAAATCAAAATATAGAGATGGTAAAACAGTTGAGAGGACTTTATTACACTATTCCTTAAATCAAAGAGAATTCAGTTTAATAAACTGTATTTAGAATTTACTAGTTGGTCAGGATTGTACACAACGCACTGGAATACCTAACAAAAGAATGTATGGGTTTATAAAGAAACGGAATTACAACTGTTCGTTCTATTCGAATTTACCTTCATAATATGTYCATCTTTCAACTACAAAACGGTCTTTCAGTTAAAAAACGAAAATACCAGTCCCTCTTTAGGGAATTTGAACCATTTATACTGTGATTTACATGATCAGAAATTTGAAAAATAAATGGTAAGAGGGCGAGGAACGGTTTGTATTGAGCGAACAGACGATCTTGTTGGAATAACGCCAATCGTGGTTGYAAATTCGAAAATACTGTTTGAGAAAATACATATACCACGGTTTCAACAAATCTATGTCCTTTATCAGTAATAGTGTTAGGTAATGGCAATCAAGAGAAAAAGTTACCAGTGAGACAGTTGAGATCAGATCTTTGAAATGCCGTTTGAATTTGTAATCGTGTATATGGCATGCCGGTTGAAAACYATAACCATATAAACGTGTGTAAACCTGCATCCAAATAACATACAGGAAAATCAGCCTAGAACGGCAAACTGGCAATTTCGACTGCAATACGCAAAAGCAACCCAAAGGAACCGGCTTAAATAAATCACTCTATATCCTCCGTAGCACTGGTTACACAGTTTTCAAAGGAGTTTGAAATTACGTTACACTCGCTGTGATTGTATCGCGTGCTGTCGGCGTAAATTTTCTGGCCATTGAAAATATCATTTTACCAGTTGTAAATCTATATMTTGGGCCATAAAAACCTCTGTCGTGGTTTCACATAGAGTAATCTTTGTGAAATTCAGTGATCAGAGAATATAATATGGTTCTTCAATGGGTTTTACCTCATTTTCTTTCAGTGGAATCTCAGGATGCCCTGTCTCAGACGCCATGTTGGAAGAACAAAACACTTCCCATCATTCAGTTCGAATCGCGGAGGCGGGAACGTGAATATAACTGATCTAAACAAAGGCCTTGAGACTTGAATGCTTTTTCCGTAGTTATTAACCATTGCTAGAAACTCTCAGCGTTGGTTTCTTGAAAGTTCCTGTTCGATCCCGAAATCGTCTTAAAATAGGTTTTCAAGGGTGAAAGAGGATGGCAAAGTCAAGACGCAAAATTTCGATACTAGAAAAACCGCCGCGCCAAACCATGTGAACAGTTTGAAAATGGCTTTTTACACTTCTGTAGGCGTATAAGCTAAAATGGTCAATTAAATCAAAATAAAATATCATAATCAAAATTCTAATGTAGTGGGTAGTTCTGTCTATAGTTCAGCCATTTTTGACACAATCATTGGGCGGGAAGTTGGATGCCATCAGTGTATTATAATCACAGTCAAAAAACAATGCGTTTTATGTAAGACTGGATTTTAAACAAAAAAACTTTAGACTTTAAATGAATAAAGATTAATCTTTGAGTTAAGTACGTCGAAGAAAACTAAAATGCTGCTAATTAACATAGATTCGGTATTTAAGAGAGAATRAAATTTGAACCTGACGGGTAAAGACCTGTCTGTCTAAGAGGTTGCTTGGCAATCGTCGCACTGCCTGAAAGAATGACAATCAGCATTGCTAAAACAAAACTCAGACRTCCTTGCTATAAAAAGTAATGTTTCTTCGACTGTATGTCTAAAACATCCGGCATTGGATTAATTTTGAGTATTTTGTGTCAAAAATAAAGTGAAATTTTTTCCAGGAAAAACGTAAAATTGTCTTTGAATGTAAAATTGTCTTTGAATGCTTGACATGGCAAATTCTTGTTGGACTCTCTTTTCGCTTCAAGTGAAAAATAGATATCTAAAAATAGCAATATATATTTCTATCCACAGTGATGTCATTGTATTGTGAGGGCTGGGAGGGGAGGGTTAAAGTAGATTTTGTAACTCGTTTCCAGTCCATACCGTTGGTGCATATTCGAGCACAGGTGACTCCTAGTGTGTTGTTTGATTCACGAAATCTTATAATCGCCGCGATTTCCTTGTACAGTTTGGACCCGCCGTGTCTAGATTGAATACTCCAACATGTCGTTYTTCTCTGAGGCCAAGTTTAGATTCAAGGAAGTGTCAGARGATGGAAAAATTGAGACGGATTCGTTTCTGAAGGCRTGCTCCGAAATTGTACCATTTTTCGGTGAGTTCCAGGGACAAACATTTTTCTCGAATACGCGACATTATGAATTCAGTGTACGAGATACTGAAATTAATTCTTTTATCTATTCTATTAGGTTTTTTTGATCATGAATTAAGCCAAAATATGAAGTTTGTCCTTGAGCATAATATTTTTCAATATTTTATGAAATGGACAAAGATCATGAGATAAAGCAGTCTGTACCCAAATTGTTTTAAGCTGGCTATAAATCATCACATTTGTCATTTAAGGCTATTATAAAGCCACTTATTCGTATATTATGTGGTGTAACATTGTTGAAAATTTGTTACTTTACACTTCAACTGATTGTATTCGTTATTATTCTTGTAAATCCCATCACATCTTCCATTCAAACAAACAATTTACTTATTTAGGAGTTCAAAGTAGTTGTACTGTTTATTGCAATTAAATTGATAAAGAAGGAACAGTTGAACAGAATGAACCAGTTCTTTACATTTGATTGGTACTGTTGTAAATACATGTACAATATTTGATATTAAAAATGTTGTATTACATTATTATAACAGATATAATATTAGCAGGCTAACAACAGCAGCACTGTGTATATCTAGTGTTGAATGTGTAGTCTTTAATCATGTTTGACCAACATTTTAAAAATAAAATCCAATCTATTCAAGAATAGTTTTATTTAAATTRATAAGTGTTGATAAGTATCCAACTGGGATAAAATTGAATTTGTTTCTCTTTCAGATGTATTAGGTCCAACAACATTTGCACCTGTAAAAATGGATATTAATGGCAATATCAAGGTAACCCACTGAAGAAATTCCAAAATTRTTGTTAYTGTTGTTATCAATGATAATCYGGACCAGACCATGTGAGAAATCAGAACTTCTAATATTGAAGTGAGGAGATACATGCTTGGGAAATTCAGAGTGGTGAAATTCTTGAAGAATATTTTCTTTTTGTCACAACAATGTAAAGAAGTGTTGTCATGTATGTACATATTAAATTGTGCTTGACAGGAAGGTGATAGCTGGATTCATTTGGTTAGAGATATGCATAGTCAGAAAAATGCATGTGGATTTGTGCTATAGTTTGAAACTTTGGTGAATATACTGCAGGGTACTATGTAACCAAAGGGATTATATCTTATGAAAGAATCAGGAAGGGATTCATGAATTTAACTATTAAGAACTAGAATRTGGCTATTTGAAGGTCATTTAGAGATTGATGATATGTGGCAGAATTCCAGGCACTAATCAAAAACAACATTATCAGCCCGAAGCACTGATTTRTTTGTTGTACTAGAAACAAGAAATTGTAGCAAGTCCAAAGCAGGAAAAAGTCAGAATTACATTCTGATATGTTTGATCCCAGCATAACTAATATAGCATGATTCCATTTTGTGTTTGTTTGTATGTTTTTTTTTATGTGTTGATTGTGGTTATCATAACAAGAAATGGTATCCCAAATCAAGATTGCATGCACTTATGTCAAAAAGTATAAGTTCTTAACTCCACTATATTTTATCCAACAGAAACTCAGAGGATTCTATGACTCAAATCCTCAGAAATTCAGAACCCTACAAGACTTAGTGGATAGTGAAATAAATGCTAGAACAACAAAGGCAAAAAACTCTGCTACTGATGCCCTACTTTGGCTTAAAAGGTATGAAAGGTCCAGACACATTGTATGAGGTACCCTAGAAAAATTAACAAAAAAAGGCAAATAAAAATAAAAGAATGAGATTGAATTATTATCATCCTCTGCTCTTTATTATCTGTCTAATGCTTAACATATTCTTCTTTCAGGGCTATGCAATTTATTTTAACATTTCTCAAAAAAGTCTTGACGGGTGAACCTGATTTGGTGAAATGTGCTAACATTGCCTATGAAAGAACCTTAAARCAATATCATAACTTTATCGTCAAAGGGATTTTTAATGTGAGTATTGTTAAAGACTTCTTTTAAAACAATATAGAAGCTTCCGCACACAGTAGGGGGGATGTTCTCCATGTTTACAAACTAATTCTCGATATAATTCTAGACTGGCTAGAGATTGTAAGAAAAGTGTTTTAAGGAAATATTTTAAGTGTTCTTCATTTTATTTTCAGCTTGCAGTAAAAAGTGTTCCATACCGTAAAGACTTCATAGCCAGCCTTGGGAGAGGAGTAGCAGATGAATTAGTGGTATTGGAGGAGATGCAGGCCTTTGTTGATGAACTTGATGCTAATATAGATATTATTCAGGAATATTACAGTAATAATGGGCTTGATCTTTAACACTTACCTGTAAATTTATTGAAATTAAGCACAAGTCTAATTTAATTTTAATCTATTTGCATGGGAGATGCACCATCTTGTCAGATGATGTGTACTACAGTCAACTTTTGCTGTGTAGACTTTCTGATATTGTAACCATTCTATGATATCCTGAGGGTGTCTGTTATAACTGAGTGTTGACAGACCCCAGAAAAACAACTAATTAAATTTCTTTTGTTGCTTAACTTTTTATAACTTTTCTTCCTGAGAAGGAAAAAAAAAGACTAAATAAAATAGGTAGAGATTATCCCATTTTGGGACTGTTTCACAAAACTTTTCGAAAGACTGAGAATTTAAGAAAGCTTTCGCAGTGAATGGAAAAGTAAAAAATGAATAAAAAAGAAAAAAATGGTAATGAAAAAGGAATATTACATTATTTAATGGGAGCCCTTTCATGATCTTGTAAAAAAAAAACACAATTATAAATTTGGAAGGATGCTATCAGCATAACTTTGTATCAGTTTCCTGATAGCTGAAAACTGAGGTGATATTGCAAAGCAATAAAAAAAAATTGATTTAACTTAGGCAAAGTTTTGATCAAGAAATCTGAAGGRTTGTATTTGTAAAATATTGAAAGGGAAGCTGTATGCAAACTTTAATAYGCAATAATATGGGAGTAAATTAAAATGATTTTGACTTACTTGAGTAATTATTAATCTTTAATTTTTAAAGAAATAAATAGGGAGACAGAAATTCTAAATGAAAACCTGCCATTGCAAAATTTCCTAAGTTCAATAATTAATGAATATAAATGGAATTGAGACTAATAAAATTTTGATTTTTCTTTAATCATATTTGGGGACTCCCAGAGGGTTAAGTTTTGATATCGCTTCCACTTTAATTACTGACATGCACTTCATTGCTTGCATTTTACACATTAGTAAATGTCAATACATCACTGACTGAGAGCAATAGCTATATTGGACGGTGCAGGTATTAATAAACGAGAAATAGTTTTTTATTCCCAATTTGCCATCAAAATCTRATTGGCATTCCTACAGCCTTCCCTGTGCTTTGGGGACAACCGCAACGCAACGCCTATAAAGAAGCGAAAGAATCCTAAGAAGGGTGCGATTTTTGGAAACACGGTTTTTCAAGTAGAGTTATTTTCATAAACTCTCTGRAACAAAGCTAAGACAGAAGAAATGAAAATTAGATATTCTAAACAAGCTCGTACCGCGCGAGTTTATGAAATCAACTCTACATGACAATAAAACTACAAGTAAAACTATTGAAGTTCTAAAAWTTCATTTGAACTTTTTAATTGACAATTATTCATTATTACATGAGTGTAAAGATGTATATAAAGTAACGTAGTACTTTAATAGTAGTAATATGACATTTAACATTATAATAGTGTTCTATTATTAATCAACTTCTTCAACTGTAGGTCCATTTGTGTTTGCGCTTTGTTGACCTTTTCCATGAAGTTTGGCCATGATTGGTGAACAAACTCTCTGCARTTCTTTCTCTTTGTCTTGAAAYTCTTCCTTCTCTRCCAAGGAGTTGCTRTCTAGCCAGTTAATGACGTCTGTAACCTTTTGTTTCACGYTTTCTTTGTCCTCCTCAGATAATTTGCTTGAAACTGTGGCGTCTTCGACTGCCTGCTTCACGCTGAACGCGTAGTTCTCCAAACTATTTCGTGCTGCGATTCTCTCCCTTTGTGCGTCGTCTTGACTTTTATATTTCTCAGCATCTTTGACCATTCTTTCAATGTCTTCCTTGGATAATCGTCCCTTGTCGTTCTTGATGGTGATGGAGTTCTTTTTACCGGTACTCTTATCTTGTGCAGAAACGTTCAAAATGCCGTTGGCATCAATATCAAAAGTGACTTCGATCTGCGGCACACCACGTGGAGCTGGTGGGATTCCATCCAACTCGAATCTTCCAAGGAGATTGTTATCCTTTGTCATGGCTCTTTCTCCTTCAAACACTTGAATGCTGACACCTGGCTGGTTGTCAGAGTAGGTTGTGAAGGTCTTGGAAGTCTTGGTAGGGATGCGAGTGTTTCTTTCAATTAATTTGGTCATCACTTCGCCTGC